AATCTGAAGAAGCCAAATACAACTTTGGTATGGTGGAAAAAATACACGATTATTTTGTATACACGTTGAATTTGACTGATGTTAATGTTGAATTACCACAATCAATTAAGGATTTATATGTATTAAATATGAGACAAAGATGGTCTTTATATTTCCACTGGGTAGAAAAACAAAAGAGTTGTTTGATCCAAAAATAAGAAGTTATGAACAAAAGTATAATCGAGTTTATAAGCAATATGCTAAATTAAGAGAGTTAGAATATGTAGAGCTTTTAAATGATATGCATGTAATTGCATTAACTACTACCGGTGCTGCCAAACACAGAATAATACTGGAAGGATTAGAGTCACCAATTTTTAAGAATTAAGGTTTTCAAGATTTTCAATAAGATATCATTTTTTATTAATACATTTATTAGTTAATATTATTTTTAGTGGTATGTTATATGGATTGTGGAAATTGCACTGCTTCAATGATAAAAGAGTTACCATGTGGCCACCAATTGACATTGCAATGTTTTGTTGATATTCTTGCTTTTCCATGCGAAGAAATGGTTGGACTTATTACTATTAATTTGCAAAGTATATTATTTTAATAACAAATTTTTTTTTATTAAAATTAAAATTTAGGTAGAATCTATCCTAGAAAAATGTGGTCATACAATTTAAAAGAAATATCATAACAAAAAACCAAACTGTTCATATAAATGTTTTAATCGGTTAGATTGTGGTCATGCTTGTGAACGAAATTGTCATAAAAATGATGATCCAAATCATAAGAAGGTAGTTTTAATTTTAAAAAATGTGTTTTTTACTATACTATTGTTATTTAATAAAATATAATTCCACAGTATAAATTTTTAAAACCTTGTGAAAATATAAACAAAAAGTGCCCATTTAATCACAAATTTCAAAAGATTTGTTATAAAGATTGTTTATTATGTATTGTTAAAGTTAAAAAATTGTTGCTTTGTGGACACGTAGAGAATGATGTTTCTTGTGGATTAAACATTGACGAGATTAAATGTAATCTTCTGTGCAATCGTCGATTAAAATGCGACCATAAGTGTCAATCCAAATGTTGTGAAAAATGTGAACCTTGTGAAAATCAAGTAAGTGTTAGATATTATAGAATGTCTATCTATTTTACTGATTCTATTTTATTACCAGGTAGAAAAAAATTATACCGGACTGTGGCCATTAAATTACAATAGAATGTAAAACTATACCAGAACATAATCTTTGTACAAAGAAATGTGATTGAATATTAGATTGTGGGCATGTATGTAAAAATTTATGTGCAGAAAAATGTATAACTAATGATTGCAAGGAAATAATATTGCAAAAAAATAGTAAGTTCGCTTGTGGTCATAATGGAGTTTGGATTTTATGCTGTGACAAGAATAAAGGTAATATTTTTATCTTCATCATGTACTCATTAAGTAGGTACTGTTTTTTTAACTGTTTATAGAAACACATTTTATAATTTTTTTAAGTGTTTATTTCATATTTGTAATTTTATTAAAGTAACCAATGTAAATTCATATTAATTTATCATAGTAATTTTATTATTATACTGTTTATTAAACTATTAAAAAAAAAAAATCGTGATTTTGATTTAATTAGATATCAATTAGGTAGTAACAATTGTAGCAAACAATTTTGTTTATTGATTAGTTAAACTTATATTCTGTGAATAAGTAAATTATAAATAAAAATAATATATTGTAGATTTCAGACTAGATAGCCAATACCTACTTGACAAATGTCGTGAACCATGTTTACAAAAATTAAATTGTAACGATATTTGTTTGGGAACATGTGGAGAATGTAAACAAGGACGTATACATATACCTTGCAATAAGACTTGCAACAAGATATACCCATATAATCATATGTATGTGTTTATTTTTTTATTTAAAATCCAAGGGTTAATTTATAAATGTAAACAATAATTTTTTATAGATGTAAAAAGGTGAGTGGAAGTATCCACATTCGGAATGCACCAGAAAATGTTATGAAAAATGTAATCGAAAACCTTGTTATATGCCTTGCATCTTAAAGTTGAAATGTGGGCATGAGTGTATAGGTTTTTGTAGTGAACCGTGCTCTCCTTTATGTCATATTTGTCAAGAAGATGAAGTTACTACGATTGTATTTGGCAATGAAGATGAACCAAATGTTAAGTTAAATGAAAAGAATGTTTACATTGTTTACAAGACATTTTATATTTAGTATATTTGACTAACTAAAGTAGTCAATTGTAATACCTATTGAAGTTAGTTTAAATATAATTAAAATTTAACTATCCATTTTTATATATTTGTAGAAGTTAATGATTTGCTTTGGCATAACATAATAAGGTTATATGTCAATGTCATATAATTATAATGTATTTTTATAACAATATAGATTGTGTCATGAAACTAATAATAATAAATAATAAAATAAGTATATTAATTATGATTTTCTATACTTTATTTAACATCAAGGTGATATATTTCAGGTTTATATATTTAGAAGATTATGAACACTGTATAGAATCTGAAGCTTTAACAAACTGGATGAACCAAAATAATAAAGAAATATGTTTAAAACAATGTCTATTATGTAAAACACCGATTTTAAAAACCCAACGTTTCATGAACCAAGTAAAAGTTATATTAGAACTTAGAAAACTTAGTTAATATAAAAAATAAATATTATGGAGAACTATCTGTAATACGCGGGAACATGAAGAAAATGATAAATTCATTAGAATCCTTGAATAATAAATTTGTTTCATATTACATTGGTGATTTAAGAAACAGATATGATAGTACTAAATATCTATGGGATAAATTTTGCAAAAATGTATTAAATTCTTTGGATATAAAACGTTTAAAGTTTTCTTTACCTGTCAAAGATATTAAATCATTACATTTTGTTATTGATTTGTTTAAGACTATACTTCTAAGTATAAAAATAAAATTGAAAAAATCAATAATAGCAACAAAAAAAGAATTTATTATTAACCACATTGATTGGATTCTTTCTGTTGCTTCCACTTATGCACAACAGTTGCCAAATCAACAAAAATTTGATATTAACATGGATATGAAACGTGGTGTAAGAATTATGAGTTTATTTGAACTCATATCAAATAGAAAATTTCAAATGGCACTTAATTTGTACAATTCTAATGTAAATGAGTTTTTTGACTCAGTAGACAACATGGAAGCTGGTATTGATGTCTTTTAATGTATACACTGTTGAAAAAGACACGGAAATACGAACTAAGTTAACTAAATTAATTTTTGCGAAATTTGATGGACTTGAAATTATAACTAATGAGTAATGAAGAAAGACAGATGATGCAAGCTATGTCTACTAGTTTTTCAGGAGACATTAAAGCTTAAGGACATTGGTATAAATGTTCCAACAGCCACATTATTGTATTGCAGAATGTGGATGGCCAATTCAGCGGTATATTTGTCCTGAATGTAAAGTACAAATTGGCAGACAAAGTCATAGACATGTTTCTAGGATTAGTGTAGCATCAGAGGACAGATATGTATAGTTCTGGAAATCTCATATATTAAAGACAATTGTAATAATAAGGAAATATTTTTACCTCTTCAAAAAATACTATTTAGACAGTTAAATTTAAATTTAAATTTTACAAAGTTTAAATATTATAATTGAAATTTATTTTATTTTTATATTATATTTTCAAAATTAAAATTATATAAATTACATTGAAGATGGAAACCTAATTGTGTAGTAACTAGCTATACCTCTTAACACTTTTAATATAATATATTGACACCTCTATGGATAATTATTGTTTTTATATCATTATGAAAATGACCTATTGGAATAATGAACGCTTAGTTTATTTAAATTAGTGATCTTTATTAAAAATTTAGAAAACTGGTGATGGATGATAGTTATATTTTACTATTCATTAATTTTACTCACATTATAATTAAAATTAGACAATAAAGAATGTTATAAATGTGTTGTTCATTTAAATGTACTTATAGAAAATCATATTTTATACATGTTTACTTTCCATATTTATTTATGTTATTTTTCATTAACTTTTAATATGATGTTATTGGAGACTGGAGTAAATACCATATAATAACTGCATTAATGGTGATAATCAAAAATCTGGAACAACTAATATTATTTTTTGTGTATTAAAGAGTTGAGATGGATTATATCTAAATTCTAAAAATGTTTTGTTAGTACCTTCCCAGATATTATAAGTCAGGTATGCCCAACCCGCGGCCCGCGAAGGTGTTCCAACCGGCCCGTGTAAAAAAAAAAAATTATTATTTACAAAAAATGTATTTTATTAAGTTTTTAAAAATATAAAATATTTTAAAATTTTGAATTTTTATATAAAAAAAATGCATTGGATTTTAGAATATTAATAAAAAAAAATTAGTGGGAAATTTGGGCTTGTTTTTCTTTAACCAATCTTTCAATGTTCGGAGTGAAATGTGTAACGCCAATTCTTAATAAGAAGTGTAAGTACAATAGATATACCTATGACTAGTTTATATTTTATCGAAGTGAACAAAAAAAAAACCCTCATGAAGCATATACCTACGGCCCGCAGTACAAATATACATTTTGAATGTGGCCCGCCAGTTGAAAAAGGTTGGGCATGTCTGTTATAGGTAAAGTAGGTACTTAAATAGTGGTATTATCTAAAAAAAAAAAATTTCAAGTTCAAAAAAACTTATTAACATTCTAATTTCTATAATAGATAATAGTGGCTTTAATGAATGTAACGTAGTATTATATCAACTCTTTAGTCTCGTACGTATTTAATATTAATTATTATATATAGTATACACTTAAATAAATAAATAATCTTAAATCGTAGTTTTACTCGTTATCACTTTATCAGTAACCTCCAATGCCGTAAGGGGAATTGCATGATTATAGATTATCTCATCTGTAATCAAGAGTACAAAATAAGCAATATTCTTATCACAATGACACAATCAAGTATCAACGGTCCGTCATAACTTTTTAGAAGAGTGTCGTCACTCGTCAGTGTTGATTGTATAACGCATTTCTTAAACTCGACGAATCATTTGTATTTGTCATCTTATTAGTTATTACTAGGTCCAGTCGTTAGATTGAATGAAGAGTCGAATACGCTTCACAATCGTCTCTTGCCGTGCCCAAGTGTGAAAATATGGCTTCGTCGCCGTCATGGGAAGGTACAATAAAATAATATATATCTTGGTTTCGTTTATAATGTTTGAATTATAGAGGCTCTTTTCTTCGGTATTCATAATATGCAGAACGCTGTCGAGTATATGACTGTTCGAACTTAGGTGGATTTTTTAATTAAAAAATACCCATACTGTGCACTCCAGTTGTTATTCTAAGCCTAAAACGGTTGAAAATGTTTTTAAATAGCTACCATAATTCAAGTGAAAACAATTTAATTAAGAAAACGCTCCTTAATTTAATTGTTTTTACTTTTTAAGTAGTCAGAATAAGAAATTTAAAATTCCTTTGAAAAATGTCATACTTAATTGACATTCGTTATTATTTATAGATTTGAGGAAACAGGCCAGGAGGCTGGAAACAGAAATCGACTCCATGTTAGTGTCATTAAGTAAAATAAGTACTAATAATCCCATGATGTATAGCGACGATGAATCACAATTGTTGTTGTCTGATGATCGATTTGAAACTGCTACATCTGAAATTGAAGAGCTGCTATCTAAGGTAAAATTCCCTCTACACAAATGTATAAAATTATTGGTCTTTGGATTTTTAGCTTAATACGGTCAATGAAAAAATGGGTGAATGGAGTTCCAACGGGGAACAATCTATAGTTTCACAAAATGTGCATACTGTACAGCGTCACAGAGATATTTTACAAGATTACACTAAAGAGTTTCAAAAAATACAATCCAATGTTAGAGCTCGAAGGGAAAGGGAAGATTTGTTGCATAGTGTTCGGCAGGACATTGAGTAAATGAATATTTCATATATACAACAAACCTGAATAAATTTCTAATTGGGAATTTTGTTTTTCAGTGGCTACAAGAATTCTGGAACAAAAAACAGACGTATGGATTTGTATGTCAAAGAACATGAACATGTACGTAATTCAGATCGTTTAGTATCTGATCAGATTGCAATTGCAATGGAAACCAGAGAACACTTGGTATCGCAACGGCATCATTTTAAACGTTTACAATCCAGACTTCATGATTTATCTAGTAGATTTCCTGCTCTCAACACCCTTGTACAAAAAATTAATATGCGTAAAAAACGTGATTCTTTAATAGTGGGAGGAGTTATTGTTATATGTACTTTTATAATACTGTTATACACTTTTCATTAGGAAGATTTTTGAATTGGTGGTTAATATATAAATGGGTATTAATACAAATTTTGTTTTTAAATAATTACAAAGATAAATTTATTTTTCTTACATTATATATTTTGTTTTAATTATATTTAATTGTAACATTATTCTTAGTTTATAAAAATTAGACATTTAAATCCAGTAGACTAAAAATCATAGGGCAGAGCTTTAATCTCGCTCAGGCATTCGTCATATAAATCTGAATAATTTTCATGCTTTCTAATAAGAACCATAACAGCAGATCTTTTGACACCCATTGATGAACCCAAATCTTCACGCGAAGGCACATAGCAGTAAGGCAGATTTTTTGTCTCGCATACACCAGGCATATGACTCATGATATCAATTGGTGAAACGTCACCAGCAAAAATTACTAAACCAGTTTCACCTCTTCGGACTCTTCGTTGCACTTCTTTTAGACCAACTCTTAAATAAGTCTTTTCTTTATGTGCTATAATAAAAATACATTGTTAATTATTGATAACAAATTAATGCACTAATAGTGATTTTTAGTTAATTTCACAATTTTAAGCACTTAATTGTGTAAAAAGATATTTTTAACACAGAACTTTTTGAAATAATTAGTATATACATTTGAATGAATCACTCTGTATAAGTTACTTTTCAAAATTTCAAATATGACAGCAGTTTAAAACAGTATTAAATAATTGGAAATGTCAAAAAATATATTTCTTAACAACATATTTAAGATTTTGAAAATAGTCATTCTTTGCTCATTAACTCAATAACTTAAAAATGTAGTTTTGTGGCTATGCACAAAATAAAAATTAAATACAGTGGATGTCGCTTATAAGACTCACTTTGTGCTGGTCCCAAAGTGAGTCTTATAACAGTTATAACCTATAGTAATAAAGAATTTTATAGGCAAAGTAGAAAAAAAAATAAAAATTTGAAAATTTTATTTTATTATTTTGCTTTTATTTTAATCTCCTTAAATGCATACATATTATGATAGTTGTATCAGGTAATCGGGAGAGTATTCATGACTTACAATGCACTACAATTATGATAACTGCAATAAGTGTGAAATGTAATGAACTAATGAAATTTGTTGTTCATACACACATTGTAAAGCATGAATCAAAAACAGGAATAATTAACAAAAATATTTTTAAATTTTAACTAAAAATGTTTATTTTCTAGTATTTTTTTTTATACAAAATTTGAGTCTTATAAGTTATTGCTAGTTTTTTTATAATGTATTTGGATACATCCGGACTGTTTCAGATGATTTTGAGTCTATTAAGCGGTATCCTCTGTATATAGTAAAATTTGTACAAATAGTATTTATGTATGATAAAAACAAATTTATAAATTATTCTATATTATGATTTATTTTTTTTAATTGCCATATTATACATTAAAATATTTACTAAACTTCTAACTAGTCATTTTGTCCAGCAAAATACTAGCTTTCTAAAATCAATCAAATTTTTGCCCAAGTCATAACACAAATTTTAAAAAAATGTGAATTTTGCAAGTTAAGTACTAGTTAACCAGTGTCTACATCTCTACATGTTAATACATCTCTTCATAAAACATAGAGTTTTTGATTGAAATTTTCTCATAACATCAGTTTAATCAGTAAATTTGAATAAAATAAACGTAGGCTCATTGTAAGAAATATAATTTAGTTAATCCATGATTAAAAAATTAAAATATATTAAAAAATTTTTTATTTTTTTTTCTTACGATTAATGATGACACCATACACTCATCTGTTGTCTTTGTCAAATGTACAACATTATAAATTTAATATCATACAGTAAGTATCTATATTAGTTAATTTGACATAAAAAGTAAATTGACTTATTATCAGGTTTAAAGGTAACAATAATATTTATGGTCTTAAGTTTTTTTTCCCCAATGTTTTAATATTAAAGCTGGTTGGTATGGCATTTACTTAAGAAAAATGAAAAACATAAATCAGTGCTTTTGCACAATAGTAATTTAGTTGAATAAAATATAAAATCATTAAGATTGATTAAACCATTTTAGCCTTTAAATATTAATTTTTTTTTTGTTAATAATATACATTACAATAATTGTATTATTTTTTTTAAATTTTTTTAATTTAAATGATTTTAAGAAGACCACATATATTATTTTTGTCTCATAAAATGCATAGTTAAGCAAATTTGCATTCAGCAAAATTCATGTTGTTAATAAATAATTGATTATCACTCTAATTGTTAATTTAAATATTAGATACAGTAAATTGACCTATAATATATTAAGAGTATGGTATAAATCTAGTTTAGCACCCCCTCGAAATTTTGATATTTTAAATTTTAAGTGAGTTGCTTATAGGTATAATAAAATATAAACATACTATTAATAATAAAATGTCTAAATACTTATAATTCGCTTTAATATTAAAATATAAAAAACACAGATTATATTCTAACTTTTGAATTATTTAGGTATATTTATTGTAATATTGAACTAATTGAGCTGAACTCATATTTTTTATAATTGTGAAACAGAGTAATACATACCTGTATTATGTTCTCTTAATACATACTTGTATTATGTTCTCTTAAGACCATATATATATAATCACCAGAATATTAAAATATATATTTTAATGAAACCATAGTTTTATATGACGATGCTTTGTAACATTGAGTAAATAAGGTAATCATTTTGGTTTGTTTAGTTAATTATTATTTTTAAGTAGAAATTAATAGGGATAAATGAAGTTATGACTACTGAAGATATAATGGGAGTAGTTTGAAAATTTAAATTTAATTATTATTTATTTATTTTAGTGGTACAAACCTTTCTTAACGAGTTTATAAATTTTTTTTGTAAGCGCTTTGGTTGCTAGAGGCTTGGAAATTTCATTGAGGTATTTGATTCTTGTAGAATATGAAATTTTTTTGTTGGTCGGATCAACTATGCTCGTGTCTTCCGTCATATTAAAATTATACGTTAATCGTTTGCCTTTGAAAAAATAATAACTTCGGAATTCACTGTTTAACGTTTTTAACTTAAAATAATAAATACAGTATTTGGCTAGCGTAGTAGTGTTTACCAAAATACCAAATGTGTTTATGTATATATACTGAAACGTCTGAAACTGAATAGTGTATACTATGAATTACGAATACTGTTTAGTGTTTAAGGTTATTTGTTTTGATCGGTCGGCATGTATTTTCTTGTCGCACGTGGGTAAATTGAATAACTGATAAGATAAAAAACCAGAAAGGACAATAAAATATTATTGATATTGTATAACACAAATATTCATGGAATAGAAAATTGCAAGAAAATAGAAATGATAATATACCTATATCATGAAAAGAACTACGACAATTGATTAACTGTGTTCTGTGCTAATGTGCTATGTTTGTAACACATTATATTCTATATTCTAATTTCTAAGGTATTATGGTTCTATTCCACTAAATCATTGTTCTGTAAGCTACTAAAAAAGTGAAAATACGGTTAAATAAAAATAAATTATACCTATAACCAAAACAAATTTGTCATGCCTATATCCATGCCGAAAACTTACGATAATAAAACATTTTTTATTATCCATTACAGAAGTTACCAGCATAAACAATCAATTGATTTACTTATGAAAGTAGGGATAGCATTAAGGCGAAGTTAATCGTTTGCATGATAGATAAACATCACATTATTGATCTAAAGAAAAGTAAGTTGTACGTGGTTGTACACACGATTTATGTATATTTGAAAGTACAATGTAAAAAAAATATGTTATCTATTCCATGGCTCTATTATATACTATTTCATGTTTGTACAATTCAATATTAAAAAAAAATGAGAACGCCACACGCCCACACTCGAATGCAGTGGCGTACACAGGATCTTGCAATTGTGAGAGGGAACTCGATTGCTTGAAAATAAATAACTATCAAGATGTAATAGACTCATTGACTTAAAAAAAAAAAAAATTGTTGCTTTTTTTATTTCTTACTTAAATTAAGCATAAAATCAAGAAAAAAATAACAAAAATAATGGGCCATAAAATATATTTTTATTTAGTCTAGGTTAGGTTCATTGGTAACATCAGTTCAGTTGTATAGTTGTAATTAGATAATAGATACCTGTGGTCAAAATCACAAAATAATATATATAATTTAATATATTTTAGTTCGTGGTTGTGGTAAATGGGTAAATAGTAAAAACACGCTTTGGGATACTATATTAAATCGTGGGTTGATTTAAAAACCAAAATAATTCCGTCAATGGAAGGTGGGCTTCAGCCCGTTAACACCCTTTCTACGTACACAACTACCACATGTTATCTTTGTCTTACATACGTATAACATGACAAATTTTCGTTTAGCAGAATCCATTTTATGCTGTTAGCTTTAATTTTAATATTACATTAAATTTACTTATTATCGAACTTAAAGGTAAGAATTTTACCTAGGTCATTACATAGGATTTTATTGATATTATAATTTTAAAGAGAGTTATGAACACTTTAAAGTTTTAATATTTTACATGGCTAAAACTCAGTTTAAAATTAAAATATTAATAGAAGCCTATGTGATGGCCTAGATAAAATTATTACCTTTAAATTTGATAATAGGTAAATTAAAAATTTACTCTAATATTAAACTTAACAGCATAAAATGGATTCTGTTGAATGGAAATTTAAAATTTTCAATGTTGTACATATAACATATGTAAGACGGAGATAACACTTGTGGGTGTGGCGTCCTCTTAATACAAACGTCAAGCATAGATTTAGAACGGTAAAAGTTTATAGATTGTACAGTGTGACCATAGAAAAGTTAATCATATGATGGTAGGCGGAGTCGACAAAGGACGACGCCATTTTGTCGATCCGTTTTGGTACTTGAACCTTACCCCATTAGGTGCGGAGAGCGGGAGAAGGAAATTGACTTTGGATTTGCGAGTTTTCATGTCGCATACTGCATAGTGCACACCTATTCACAATTCCTAAGCCTCAACGATTTTCTTGTTTTTGTTAGTGACATCAGTGTCTATTAACGAATCAATTCAATTACTTTATTTTCATTCACACGGTTCGTCATCTGTGTTCTGTCTTGTGACTTGCGTCGTTTACGCGATGGTCTAAGATCGATCCTAAAGTCAGTGGACTAATATTTTCATTGTTTCTTTGTTTTTAATTCCGTCTGAAAAGTGACGGACAATAGACGACCGAACAACGAATACCACTTAATATGGAAAGTCTGTGCAACTACGCCAGTGATGACGACAACAGTTCGAGTCCCCGAAGAGAAGTCGTTGTAAGTTTATTTTGCATTTATAATCTACTACCCAGTCACACTTTCATATATCATGACGTCAAGTGTTATAATATTATTATTAAGATATGCACTCTTGTATTTCATATCTTCATGGTCATATATATTTACACAGCTAGGCCTGTAGGCTATAATTGATTACTTATAATTGCGACTTAATGGTGATCTACATAGGTAGTAGTAGAACCTACGTGTTTAATGTTATCATTTTATCTATCAGTAGCTTAATGCGTCTTTACTGTAAAGACTTACATTAATTATCAGAAATAATGATCATTCTACTTGTATATTACTTACAACCATAAAGTTAGGCATTATTGCTATTTTTAAAAATAAAATAATATTTATCAAAGTACTAACCAACTAAAAATTATCTATACATGGCTAAATAAATGTATATCACACCTATTAAATATTTTTAGACTAAACTTACCAGAACTAATGGAATGGAAGCTGATGCAAATTATGAACAAGTTACCATGGATATGAGTGAGGTATGGATAAGTACAACATTAATCTATTATGATTAATGTTAATTAAGGGCACTTAAACTATTTTTAAGTTCATTAGGTAGTTGCATTTCTATATCATAACATTTATTATTTTAAATTATTACTTACCTTAACCTTTAACGTTGTAAAAAATATTTTTTTTAGATTTTAAGTGTGTATGATTTGTCATTTATATCAGTTATTTCCGGACAGACTGAAGAATATAGTCTTTAATGATGTCTATTGATTTAATTACATTCTCTAATTTTTTTTTTATGGTTCAGCATAAGAACAATTGGCATAAACTATTTTCTTATTATAAGTAGTGTTTACTACATCCATAAAATATTTAAATTGTATTATTTGTTTACATACACAACTATTTAAAATTATTAGTACTTAGATAAATACTTCTCTACTGTTTATCATAGTATGTTTCTAACTTTCATTTCCTCATTATAATAACAAAACTTGTTAAGAATATAATATAGTGGTACTAATATATTATAAATATAGTACCTAATGTATTTTTTCATTTTAATGATAATTATGTTGTTTTGGCTCGCAAAGATTAACTAAACAGTTAAAAGATTTTTAGTTACATATCTTAATTTCGTACATTTTATTTCCACTAAATCCTCATTATGATATTTTTGTTTTCATTCTGAAGATTTTATTAAAGAGACCAGCCATTCAGTATGATAACACAAGTCGTCCTGGTTAAATTCATATTACCAAAACTGAAGGTGGGTAAAAAATATTTTGAAATAGGCTATACAAAAAAAAAAAAAAAATTAAGTAAGCTAATTAATATACCTAATTCAACTCTAAAAAAAAGTAAATTCCGGTTAAAACCAATATTAACACGACATTGTTCTGAAATTATATATAAAATAGTCCACGAGTAGTCAATCGACTGTGGGAGAGTCTCTTGCCACTGATTGTTTGCGCCGCTCGAAGAGGAATATTGAATGCGGCTGATTATCAATACTGTACATTCACATTGGTGAGTAATAACAAAAACAATCAGGTAAACCCTTTCCCGCTAGACGTCATTCTCTGTGAGCTGTGGCCTTGAAGAAGGTATATTTTTTATTTATCATTAACTGCTAGGTCATAATTATTAATTTAAAATACCGATATTGACAATCTTCTTACTTTTTTTGACATATTCATATTTTTAATTATTAAATTATATTTGATATATCTTATCAATTATGTAATATTTATTATTTACATATTAAAACATAATTGACTGATAAATAAAACAAATATGTTTAATATGAAAAAAAAATGTTAATATATTTTTTATCTAATAATTAATTTAGTTATATATTTTCAGCAGGAATCAAACCATAGTTCAACCAAATCACCTCCACTTAAAAGCCAAACTTCACCTTCTAGTTCGGCATCATCCCCTACTTCTATATCATACACTTCGAGATCACGTCATACTAGTAAACATGGAAACCATAGTGATACAAAAATAAGTAGTTCCGATGAAGAAAAAAAAAGTCATATTCGTCATAGAAGGTATAGTTCCTTTTTATCTCATTTATTTTAAATTTAATGTATTGTTTTTATTTATATGTATGTATATAAATTAGAAATAAATCGAGAGATCGCCATAGTAAAAAGCATTCTCGTCGGTCAAGAAGTCGCAGTTGTGGTAGAAAACGTTCTCGACGATCTCGTAGTCACAGTCGTAGCAAAAAACGTTCACGTCGATCACGCAGTCGAAGTGAAAGGTATCAAAGTTTATTACATCACCTTAAATAACATAATATTCACTATATTTTTTTGTTTCTGATAAAGAAATAGTACTAGCAGGAGGTCTAGCCCACATTATAGACATGAAACAAAGAATCACAATAAACATAGTCGGTCTAAAAGTAAAGAAAAATATACATCATCACATAATTATTTCTTAGAAAAAAAGGCTAATAATAAACGGCAAAGTAATTATTTTTTTTTGTTAAATTTTATTTCAAAAAATTTAAATAAAGAAAAGTCCTATTTTATTAATGATTATAATTTAGTTTTAGATAAATTGGGGATTGAATTAAAAGTTCCAACAGTTGGAAATCCTGTACTGCCATCAACCACAACAGTCACTCCTCAACTGTTACTGCAAAAATCTATGGAAGCACAAGTTGAAAAAGTGAAAGTACAAACAGGAATAGAGTTACCATCTTATTATAATCCAGTAGCCGTAAATCCTAACAAATATGCTGAACAGATTCAAAAACGCAAACTGTTATGGGGAAATAAACAAAACAATGAGGTTGTTAAACAAATTGAAGAAGCTAAACCACCTGTAATAACTAACAACAAGACAGCAACCATTTGGCAGTCCACAAAATTTGGGGATCAGGA